AGAGGGGGGGGGGCGAAGGAGGGGACAAGGGAAGAGGAAAGGGAAGAAGAAAGGGACGAAGACAGGGAACAGGGAAGGGAAGAGAGAGGAAAGGGAAGAAGAAAAAAAAAAGAAGGGTGCAGAGCAGGCCAACTTGGCTGTGGCAGCAATTCCCGTTGGAGTTTGCAAGCGGGGTGCTATGCGCATACCATGTGCATGATATATACGGGTGCTATGTGCCTAGAATCGACACGCTACGCGGGTTTTCTGTGCATGTTACGACGTGCATGCCATTCGCATGCTATTGAGCTGCAATGTGTGTGCTCCATCCACCATGCCATGGCACCCCGTGCGCATGCTGTTGGGGTGCTATATTGGTACCCTATGTGCACCAATCACACGTTGGTGACGGCCCGATCATTGTCAGCTCTGATACCAGTGTAAGGAATTTACCAAACTTCCGAACTTCTTCCCATGCACATCACTCGCACAGACTGAAGTGACGACAAAATCTCAAAAATTGAAAAATGGAAATTGGTAGAAAACTTTACACCAACAAGCTCGTATTGGACATTGACGCACGGGAAAAGCTGATGTTCACTAGGGCACCAGGCTGCACTGAGCGGCGTACAACAAAACGGCACTCAAAACCATGGCGGCATAGATATAGCGAGAACACACTGGCTATAGCTGCTGCGCCCACACTCTCTCCTTTAGCTGCCAGAAATCAGCGCTTCTTCGTGGGCTGCCAAAAATAACCACTGCTTCTCCTCATCATCAGGGCATCCTCACACTTGCAGGAACCCGTGTTCTGCAGCAGTCTGGGCCCTCAAAACGGAGCCCAGACGACGCAGGCCAAACTCGGCCTGCGCCAGGCAGTGTGACAACGCACTGCCTAGGAAAGTCAAAAGTCTAAGTCAACTGTCCAAGGTACCACGCCCAGGCCCCTGGGTCGGATACATTCACTTGTTGTGCACAGGTACCCGGACAGCATCAAGGCCACAGGAAGTTCGGTTTCAGGCAAATCTGAGCCGCCATTTGTCTTGAGATCTCGACGGCTTAGGGAAGCAGCAACCGGGGTCCAGACCCCGTGTCAACGCTACATAAGCCTGGACTACCTGGCTGGGAGAACATTCTGTCTTGCGTCAAGGCTGACCTGACGCGTTGACTTCAACGCTAGTGCGACGCTGTGATACTGGCCAGACGCTGGCACTTGAGCGACGCTGTGATACTGGCTGGACGCTGGCACTTGAGCGACTGTGGCGACGTGCTGCTGGCTCGGCATGGTGGCTGGCTGGCAATTGTCTTCTGGGCATGCTGACGTGGCAGTTGCCACGCGCCGCCGCTGATGTGGGTGCTGCCACATGTACTCCTGCTGACGTGGCAGAGCTACGTGTCTGATATTGCTGTTCTGTTTCATCGTCACTCGGAAGGAGATCAAGACTGTCGGGCGATCGTAGATACGTACCTGGTCTCTTGATGTCGACATTGCTCCAGCTCGCTGATGATGACAGGTTGACGTGCCACGTGGCACAATGAGATAGAACTTCAGATTTGTGTTCGGACTATTGATTATTGAGGTGGCAATCGAGGAGGGAGCCCGAAGCAGAAGTGGGCATTGTTTTCTTCTCCACTCTAAGTCTATTCTCCCTTCTCTCGCCTTCGTCTGTGTATGTTTCCCCATCTCATTCTATCTGGACACGATTATGATTATTGACAATCATCAGCAGGTTGATATCTATCTGGACTTGCATTGTTGACAAGTGTCTTAACGATCTGGGTTCATTGCACACTATTGACTTTATCTTTTCAGCTATGGAAGTGATTACAGTCAGCTTCATCCAGTTTGGGCCACAATTGCAGTCAGATAGGAAAGTCCTAGTGTGAGTATGCCCTCACTCCACAAAAATCACGAACTGAAACTGAATGGATTCTCCTCCTACCGTCTTCACTCTGAATGCAACGCCCGATCATTATATAGCCGTATTTGGCGCAATTTTCTGTCCAGATGCAGCCATAATGACGGGGCTTTCTATTCGGGTGAAGAAGGTAGGTCGTTGCTTTTACTGTGTGACAATTTTGGCTGGGGCCCTACACGGTCCTACAGGGACATAGCCTGAAGAATGTCTAGGTCCTACAGCGTCCTTTGTGTCCAAGGGTAGCTAACAGTATTCTTACTTGCAGGTCCCAGGTTCGAATCTGACTGACGGCAAACTTAGAAAACACAAAACAAAATAAAAATGTGTCCTTGCTTCACACTTGGGGCAGCTGTCGGGGTTCAAATCCAGCCTGAGCGCAACACCCGTCCTCTTCGTCTTCCTCCTCCTCGTCTGGCACCCACCCATCCCCTTCTCCTCTTCCTCCTCTTCTTTCCTCCTCTTACCTGCTCTTCAACTTCTTCTGAATGATCTTCCCTCCTGATCTGCTACCCTTACCAGTAGCGCTCTTGGGTCGCTTTCTGCTTAATATTACCCCCCCTCCTTTTCCCCCTTCCAGCCCAATTACCCCTTCGGCGTTTGGATTGAAAGAGTCCCAAGAGCACCCCTCTGCAGAAAATATTCTCCCAAGCAAAGAAGAACGTTCTTTTTCTCGTATAAAAGGACAAACAAACACACTGGGGGGCGGCAACAGGGAGAGAGGGAAGGAGGGAAAGGAGGGAATGCAACAAGGAAGGAGGGAAGGAGGGAAAGGAGGGAAAGGAGGCAAAGAAGGGAATGCAACAAGGAGGGAGGGAAGGGCATGGACGACCCCCAGAGGAGAAAGAGAGTCTGACGGGGTACGAGTGATGGACTTACGACCTTTCTCCCGATCAGGATCACCAGCTGCCGACAGGGGAGCAGTGGGGTTCAGCTTCCTATCTTCTTCTCCCAGGACTCCTGCTGCAAAGCCAACACGTGGCCCCGTGGCCGGCATCCCGGGCTGCGGTTCCATGTCGGTCCGCCACGTGGCGTCATCTCGATCGCTGGATATTATGGGCTCGTTCGCGACCGACGGTCCACGGTTGTCCCTAACCCCATTGGTACCCGTCGAACTCCGGGACGATGAACTGGCAGAAGCAGCCGGCTGAGTGGTCCCCACCGATATGGAGGCCGAGGAGGAGGGGGATGCAGAGGACCTGCTTTCTGAAAACCACAGGAGCGCAACCCCAAAGACAGCGAAACAGCACGCACACACACACACACACACACACACACACACACACACACACGGGTTTGCTGTCAGATTCAGCAAAGCAATAGTAATACTACAGGTCCAATATTGTAAATCGTCACGATTACGATGATGACTGATGAGGTCTTCCACGCATCCCTCGGCCTCCCCCCTTCTTTCCATCCCCCCTCTTCCTCTCCATCAAATAAAAGGCATGGGTATTGTTGTCGACTGCATGGAACACGAAGCTTCCCTTGTATACATCGAGAATGCATGTGCGCTCCATACGTAGGAGATTGACGGAGTCGTGGCATAGTAGCAAATTCACAAGCATCATACGACAGACGCTCGTCAAATTTGCTTTTTTTTTTCCGCATGGTCTGCTCCACTGATGAATCCATGAGCTGCTTAAATCGATAATCCTCCAACCCATCAGCCAAACAAAAAAGATGAGCTGGTCATCAATTTCCTACACACGGCAAAAACGGCAGCTAGAACCGCAACACCAACAGGGAGCACAACAAGCTAACAACAACTATAATCAAATAGTCCGCATGCTCATTGTCATGCCTATTTGTTTGTTTCTTTGGCGTAATAACCTACCAGTTCATCAGGCAATGGATCAATCAATCAACAACCAACCAATCAACCAATCAACCAATCAACCAATCAACAACCAACAACAAATCAATCAATCAATCAACAACCAACCAACCAAACCAGAAAACAATCAACAACCAACCAACCAACCAACCAACCAACCAACCAATCAACCACCAATCAATCAATCAATCAGCCAATCAATCAACCAACCAACCAACCAATCAACAACAACCACCGAGCCAATCAATTAATCAACCACCAACCAATCAACCAATCAACCAACGAATAAATCAATCGGCGAATCAAACTCTCGACCGATCAGCCAACTAACCAATCAACCACCAATCAACCACCAATCAACTACCAATCAACCAATCAACCAATCAACCACCAATCAATCGGCCAATCATTCAATCGAATCCGCATGCCAATCCGCTGAGGAATTTGAGGCAAAACAAACGAGCGAAGGGAGGCAATCAATACTGCCGTGGTAGTAGTGGTATGTGCCACCTCCCCCTCCCATCATATTCACCCACCCAACCACCCTCTCTCTCTCTCACCTCTAAGCTTCTTCTCTATCCAGGTCCTCCAGAAGCTGGACGTGCTCTTCTCCCTGGTGCCCGCACTTGCCTCGTTTCCAGATTCTGTCCTCAGATAAGTCATTCAATCACAAAACACGCCGGTTTGCGCGCACGACAAAGCCAAAGTCAAAAATTCCAAGGATCAGTGTTCTTTTTCAACCACCAAAAAAACGACGGTATGCATACGCACACAAACAACTTCAAGAATCGGGAAAAAATAGGGGGAGGAGAGACAGAAAAACAGACAAAAAGAAAAGAAGACGAGCGCAACAACAAAGAGAGGAAAAATGGGCACTGATTGAAATTCCTTGCTCCCACCCGGCCCCCCCCGAAAAAAGGGCATTGCGTCTGTAATTCCTTTCTCGGGGGGGGGGGGGAGGGGGGAGGGGGGATGGAGAGATGGGACGAGCGTTGCTATTTTCATAGATACAAAGGGGGTTCCAAATGCTTGACTCGTCCGTGCGGGAGTCCTGATGATTCTGTAGGCATCCGATCCGATGAAACAGTTCTGACAAAACAGGGGGCAAGCAAGCAAGGGGGGGGGGGGGGGGGGGGGGGGGGGGGGGGGGGGGGGGGGGGGGGGGGAGGGGTTTTAGAGCAAGAGCAACCTTCCCCCCGACAAAAAAAAAACAGGGAGAGGGGGAGGGAAAAGAAAGGGAGGGGCACCCTCAATGTGAACAACGAAGGCCACAGGAACCAGCCCCATGACCCCGATGATCACAGGCTAGGGGGCTCAACCAAAAAAGAGAAGGGAGGGACACCATGAATGTGAAAACAGGAGGGTCAGTCAAACATTAGAGCAAAATGAAAAGAAACGAAACGAGAAAAAAGACTGGACGAACTTCAATGCAGCACCTGCAGTCATTGCGGCTGCGACAGTCGGCCGAAACCATCCGCGCCCATATACATGCCCGAACGCATGCATGCATCAGTCCGATGATGACATGCATGTATGCACCCATATACATGCCTGTACGCATGCATGCATCAGTCCGATGATGACATGCATGTATGAATGCAAGCAAGCACTGAAGAAAACATTCACGATAGATGAGGAGGCCAAGGCCGCCGAACCACATTTGCGGAAGTGGATGTGTGTGATGAACGAGCAGTGTGAAAAACAAAAAAAACAAGAAAGAAGAAGAAGAAGAAGAATTGCAGTTTTCGTCCATGATCCGATCTCAAGAATCGGATCGAGCACGCGACCTCCCTCATGGGTGTTGCACGCGCTCAACCGAATGGCTAAACAGACTGGGGTGAAAGTTAAGCCCCAAGATTTCCCGCGTCCCGGTGTACTCCAGCCACACTCACACCTCACACCTGACCCGACCACACAGGCCTGTCGACGCAGCCACCACCAGTCAATGTGTCTCCTCATTGCCGGTTACTGCGCTAAGCAAGAATTGCATTTTTCGTCCATGATCCGATCTCAAGAATCGAACACGCGACCTCCCTCGTGGGAGCTGCACGCTCGCCCGTTCTTGCGGGGAAGAGAAACGACAGAGAGCAGTGCATGCTGGAGTAAATCATTTAACCAAAAAAGGACAGAGAGCTGCTGCCAGGCGAACCGTGGGAAGAAAGAGGGAAAAGAAAGGACACAATGACAGACTGTTTCGCTTGTTGGGACTTTCACTGACCCGAATCGATAAGGCTAACACCCCCCCTCCACTGACGTTTTGAGACACTGATTTGATTAATTGATTGCTTGGATTGGAATGGATTTTGATCGGGTTGGATTGGATTTTGATTGGATTTTGATTGGATTTTGATTGGATTGGATTGGATTGGATTTTGATTGGATTTTGATTGGATTTCAATTGGATTGGATTAAATTGGATGCGACTGGATTAGATTGATTGATTTGTTGATTTAGTTAATCTGATTGATTAATGATGTGATGGATCGAATTGACTAATGGGCTGAGCGGACTGATGTGATTGATTCCTTGGTTTAGAAATCTTTACTGCTAGCTTCGTTAATTAAGTGGATGTCATGGATTGATTTGATTAGTTGACTCAACAGACTGATGTGATTGATTGATTCATTGATTCATTGATTCATTGATCGAGTGGTTAGTTGATTGATTGACTGATTGATTGATTGGTTGATTTACTAATCTTCGGATGAATGGACAATGGATAACACTGACATTGAGCCTCGCCGCAGCACACGCCAATTGCCAACATTCTGAATGTAACCAGACCAACTCGGTGTTCAGATTCATTCAGAATATTGACGTTGGCGAGTGCTGCGGCAAGGCCCTATAATGAGCTTTGTACTTTCACTGGGATCCATTCCCGATTTCTTTATCCGTTTTTTTCCCGCTTCTTTCCCGCTTTTTTCCCGCTTTTTCCCAAATTTTTTTCCCCTTTTTCCCCGCTTTTTTCCCCGCTTTTTCCCCGCTTTTTCCGGCTTTTTTCCCGCTTTTTCCCTCGTCTCTCTCATCTTTCCGTACTCCTTTTACGCTGGGATCACTGCAGTCCCCTTGATTTCTTACTGGCTTTCTCCCTCCCTTTTCGTTTCCTCCCCGCCTTTCGTCACTTTCTTCTCCTCCGATTTTTCCGCCCTTTTTCCCGCAGTATAACCACGTTTTTTCCTGCCAACTCCTTTTCCTATTTTCCTCTTTCTTTTCCTCTTTTCCTCCATATATATACATACATACATAAGACGTTCTCATTCTCTACTTTCTGTTCTCTGTTTCTCGCGTTACAACAATGTCCGTAGGACACCGAATGACCAGACTACCTTCTTCCCCCGAATAGAACGCATGGTCATTTTCACTGCATCTGGACTGAAAGGTGAGCCAAATACGGCCATAATGACTGTACGTTCTATTCAGGGGAAGACGGTTGAAAGGGAAACAAAGACAGCCTTATCGCCATCTTTTAGCAAAAACCAGAATTCCTGCTAGGGAAAGCAAAAAAACAAAAAAAGAAGGGCAGAGAAGGCAAGATCAAAAGGAGAAAAGTCCGGAGACGGCTACTAAACCGCATTGTGTTTCTCTCTCTCTCTCTCTCCATAAAAAAATTAAAAAAAATAAAAGAAGGCAGAAAAAGCAAGATCAAAAGGAGAAAAGTCCGGAGACGGCTACTAAACCGCAGTGTTTCTCTCTCTCTCTCTCTCTCTCTCTCTCTCTCTCTCTCTCTCTCTCTCTTGCTCGTTCGCTCGATTAGGAAAAGAGAGCCGACTCACCAGAGGTGGGTGACGCATCCTCCTTGTCCTCTTTGGCGATGGAGGACGAAAACCTTCCATGCGAGAGTCGGCGATGGCGAAGAAGGAGCGAGTTATCCTCTAGCCGTTGATGACGAAGAGATGAAGCAGAGCGTCGGCCGTTCGACAAGCCCAGCGATCCACAACCGCCCGATTGATGATTCCCCTGCCACGTGGCGTTACTCCTGTCAGCCGCTCGACGAAGCAGGAGCGAGAGCGGGCGATGGACCTTGCCTTCGTCGTCACAGGCTGCCCCTGCCCCTGCCCCCCCTCTTGTACTACACGATAACGGACGAAGAGAGCAGGCGATGGACCTATCAGCTATTATGTCGGGTAGAGACGATGAAGCAACATCATCGATGGTTGAGGAAGAATGGAATCCCCCCGTGTGGCGTGTGGAGCCAGACGTTCTGCACACATCTGACAAAGATAATGAGGCCGTCGACGACGACAAGGAAGAAGAAGAAGAAGAAGAAGAAGAAGAAGAGGAGGAGACGGCTATGGGGACGATGGCGGCGGCACTTTGCCGTCCTGCACGGGCCAGTAGGTCGTCAACGAATATTCCTATCAGGCGTTCTCCTTTCCTTCCTTGCGCGAAGGCTGGCACGCCAGCACGCCATCGAAGCATTGTTTAAGTACTAGATCGATCAAATTAATGAGAAAATTAATGGACTGATCAATCAATAGCTAATCAATCGGTGAATTAATCAACCAATCAATCAACTACTGTCGCCGGCAACTGTTCTCCCCTCTCCCATCCTCGTCCTCCCACCTCCTCCTTTCTCTTCTCCCTTTCTCTCCCCGTCCTGTTCTACCGTCCATCCGCGTCCTTTCTCATTCGCCTGCACGGCAAGCTACTGCCACGCTGTTCTTCGTCCATGACGCGCTTTGCTTACACACAATCGGCCTCGCTCCACTACTCTTTTTTTTTTTTTTTTTTTTTTAGAGCTCCAGTCTGTTTGTGGGGAGCAACACAAGTTGGAAACCGGGCCCAGCGTCCCTTATAGAAACGAAAGTAGAGATTCGGGGCCGCGGTACCCACAGTCTGCCCGGTGGAACAAGTCACTTGTACCGGAAGCTTTATCCGGTTTCGCTGGCAGAGAAGTAGCCAAACAAACAAGAAGGATGCACCATATTCCCCTACTTGCTATATAAACTGTACAACTTATCTGTTGTCGACCCATACTGAAACTGAAGTCTGTCTGTAGAGACCTCTCAGCCCTGTGGCTGCCTAAAACTGTGTGAATTCCTTCCTATCCTCTTCAGACAGGCTTCAGAGCTAGACAAGGCTGAGCAGAGAGCCAAAAACTCTAGGTTGAGCGTCCTACCTTATCTCTGTAGTGTCAGACAAACATTTTACATTTTCCTGCACAACCAGGGCCCCAAAATTGCCCTTTGTGACTCATCTAATGCAACCAGCTGATATTTGACCGCCCAGGTCTTTAAAAACCAAATGGACCCGTTTCTTTTCCTATCAACCAAAATTGTTCGTTGCATTGACCGTTGGAGGAGAATACCTTCCTGATCTACAGTACAGGACAGCAGAGATACCTGAACTCCCAAGAATCTCTCAGACTGGTTGAAAACAACCCGTTTCATGCCGCAATTCACCGCAGGAGTGTACTCCTTTGGAAGGAAGAAGACCGACTTAGACCAGTTCACGGATGCTTCAGAAAGATTGGAATACTCATGTAGGCAGCTTTTCAGGGCATTCATGGAAGTGTCGGAGTTTTCTGAGATGGCGAGAAGGTCGTCTGCCAGTGCCTTCACCTTACACTGACTACGGCCTGCCTCGATAATCTGTGGATTAGCTCGAATATTACACAAGAGGCTCTCAGTTTGAGTTACGAATAACAGAGGCGCTAAGGGACAACCCTGCCGTAGGGATCTTGTGAGATGGAATGAATCTGACAGATTACCGTTCACCATTACAGCACCCGTACATAATGAGTAAAAAGCAACCACCCAATTGCATAGGTTCTCTCCAAAACCCACAGGTCTTAATGTAGTGAGAACATAAGTCCAGTTGACTCGATCGTAGGCTTTCTCGAGATCTAGCATTAGGATTGACATATTTGTTTTCGAACACTCGACAATTTTCAGAGATTCTATGGCCGTAACTATATTGTTAAATATAGAACGGCCTTGCAGAAAAACGCCCTGGTCGTTCTCAATTAGGGAGGGTAGATAACGTCCTAGTCGTCTGGCTAGAACTTTAGCTAAAAGCTTGTAGGAAACATTCAGGACTGAAATTGGACGTCAATTCCGAATTTCAGGCCTATCGCCCTTCTTATATAGCAGCGATATGATTTCGTTTATCATCCCTACTGAGAGATTACCACCTATTAGCACCCGATTGTAAATGTCGACCAGTTCAGCCTTTATAGTCTCCCAAATGACCAAATAAACTTCCACTGGGAGGCTATCGTCGCCTGGGGCTTTCCCCTTTGCCATAGATCTTAACGCTTCCCAAGCTTCTTCCGTAGTGACCGGTCTATCCAGGTCCATCTTACCTTGTGTTGACAAACTGACTGTGAATGTCGACCAATGATTCGATTTTTCCGCCAAATCCTCCATAATGTCTTCATCTGGACGTTTGGTTGTTAGTATGTCCTGGTAATATATAAGGCCGCATACAGACAAAGTTGGGATTGGTCCTGAGCTATTGGCAGATCCTGATCAAATGGATGTGAAAGCTCGCACATCGAGTGGGATAGACGTTTAGGTAACAATCTCTGGAAGGATTATCTAGTCTTGCGGTCATAAACCGCTATACCTTTAACCTTGAGGCGGTTTGCCCATAGATCCGACTGTTGATGCTGAAAATCCTCACATTCCGCCAAGTGCTTTGCTCTCCTTGGACCCCAAACAATGTTTGAGATGGGATGGAGGCTCATCCGATTTTCGGCGTACTCTATTTTTCGAATAATTTCTACTTCTCTATTTTTCCTATTCGCCGTGAGAATACGCGAGAAAATGCTAAGATGTTTCAAATAAAATTCTCGAACCCGCATCCCACCAAGCATCCTTGGACGTGAACTTGTCCAGGTTTGTTTTTCGATCTGTCCAAAATCTTCGCATCCAATCCACAACTCCCGGCTCTTCTAAGATCTGCGTGTTAACTCTAAAGTAGTCGGGGGCGCGTTCTAATTTATTGGAGGTCAAGATGGCCAATACCGGTTTGTGGTCAGACATAGGATTTGGCGTTTCCTCGACACTTACGGTGGCTTGCCAGACGTCGGGTGAAAGAAAAAAAAAATTGAGACGTCTTCACGTGACACCTTTCCCTTTCTTGACGTTTGAGAACCAGGTATAGCCGGTTTCTCCTGGGTGTAAGAGACTGTAGGGTTCAGTGAGGTCCATGCAATCCATAAGCTCGGGCAATGCAAAAACATCCCGATTTCCTCGCACTCCTTCCGGTTGATCCAGCGAGTTATTCCAATCTTCACCGATTAGCAGATTATCGCATTCGGGGATAAATAGAGGGAGGTTAGAAAAAAGGAGACTCGTTCCGAACGTTCAGTGGGGGCATAAATAGACGCTATGACCCATTCCTGCCCTTCAATCCATACTTTGACCCACGCCTATCTCCCTCTGCAAAGAAGTCAATGATTTTTGCGTTAAGATTACGGTGGATTAAAATAGCTACCCCCCCACGTGAGCCCCTGGCCGGAGACCAGATTTGTGGGTCGTCCCACCACGTGCCCAATTCCATTATCTTTTCTTCTGACAACTTACTTTCCTGGAGGCAGAAAATTTCAAATTTATGCTCGTGTAACCAACTTTTCAACCTACCTTTCTTATTTCTCCCCGTCGAGTCTCCTAGCCTGCGAATGTTCCATGTGACAATTTTAAGCATGCCCATTCGGGCTAGCACCACCAGATTGTTGGATCTGGGAAGCGGTTGATACAGACGTCCAAGGTTTCGTCGAAAAGTGTTTGAAGAATGGAGAATCCATCTTTTTTTCCCTACCCAATTTGGAATTCAAGTCCCCAAGGAATTTCGCGGAGACCGTGAAAGCAATTTTGATTCTTCTCAAATCAGATTTTCTGCCCTCTAAGAACCAAGCCATGAAATTAGTTGAAGGCCTTCCTTTTCCAATACGTCTAATTGGCCTGGGAAAAAACGAGCGTAAAAAAAAAGGTTGTAAAAACGAGTGTGTTTGCCCTCACACTCAACTAGGAACCGAGGCATAGAGATATCGAGGATACGGAAAGCAAACTTGCTCTGAAATAGGGTACGCAACATGGTTTCCAAGGCATGAGGCATGGGGGATTCGTGATAACAGGTGTTAAACAATATAGGGGAACCATCAAGGCTAGCCCATGCAATAATCCACATCGAATCCCTCACTGTCGGGCACATCAAAGGTAATAATTTGGACTCCATGGGAGCCTGACCTTTGGACAGGGCTTCCATTCGGGGACTGGATGGTTTCCGCTTACCTGCCGTTGATGAGCGAGAGGCGTGAGTGCCTTCGATAGAGCTGCCAGAAACTTCTGCATGAACTTCATCTGCACGGATGTCCAACCCACCTTCTTCGCTGAGACGACGCTGTTTGCCAGGGATTCTTCCCGAGTTCTGTTACTGCCTAACCCTTGTCCCATGGGTCCTGATGGGAACCCCATGGCAGGGTGAGGATACGGACTGAGTCCTCCGAGTCCTCCTGGTTGAAGCTGAGAAAGGTTCATCATCACTTGATTCCAAGGCATGAACACATGCATGTTAGCGACTGAAGGGCTCACGCCAAGATGCTGACCTGGTAACGACGCTCCAAATTGTTGATGAGTGAAAGGATGGGGAGGCAAATTGTTCAGATACATTGCCCAGATTGCATCTGCTGTTACTGAGGCTGGCTGCTCCTCTGGCCTCTGCGGTTGATGGCCACCGGGGATGCCGAGCCTCGGTACGGTTCCGGCGGAGAACGTAGGATTGAACCTAACGTTCGATCCTGCCGGAGCGTCAGAAGCCGCAGGTTTCGATGATACCGATGGTTGGTCTTGTTGGGCCGGATCGGATGCTCCTGGTGCTCGAAGAGGGGCTCCATATATGGGTTGGGCAGCCCTAGCTCTTGATGTGGTTGCAGTCTGAGGATTACCCGAGGATATAGCACCTTGGGTTTTTCTCGTTGGCCGCCTGCATGTTAGTTCCGTGTCGAAGAAGGTGCAACAATGCTTGCACCACTCCGAGAGAGCGCAAGCCAGTCAAACTTCTAGCAGGTCCCCTTGAAAGGTACAAATCCAGAATTTATCCTTCATGTTAGCTCTCTGCACCGGATCGATGTCGAAACGGAGGTTGACCAACTTGGGGTCTGACTCGTCCTCATCCGGTGTATGAACCTTCAGAATCTTGCCTATCGATTTTTCGATGTGGGCGTGGAGGAACGGCATCTCATCCAGAGGAACTCCCACCGCCACCACCCAGAAAGTGTCCTGATCGATAAGTTGTCTCTAATCTCGGATCTCTGCACGAGTCATCCATGCTTTGAATTCCGTCCGGTATGTAACATCTCCCAAGTCGATAAAGTCTATCTCTTCGCCAACATCCAATCGGTGATTTTATGTGCCCTTGGGATATACGAAACCATGTTCGGAGTCTTGATCTTGATTCTGCCTCGCTTGAACTGTTGATCGAACACCTCATACCTTATCCACACGTCCTCATAAGCCCTAACCATATCTTCCTTAACCTTTTTTGGTAGGAAGCGTGCTCCGTCATGGAAGATAACCGTGATCGTTCTTTCTTTGAACCATTTAACCTTGATTTTGTCCAAAGATGAATTCAAGGTAAATGCAACTTCCCTTCCATCTATCTACATTTCTCCA